GACTATTTGTCCAAAACGTCACTTTTCTAAGTGAAACAATATACTTGAATTATGCATTTTACTTGGCCAACCATTTATCTGTCCACACTATATGATAGATTTGAATTCAAGATCCTCGTCACAATACCTTGATGGTTATTTCATATTGATTCCAATATGACATAACTTATCGAGATCTCTTCTTTTTTCATCATTTTTCAGGTACCTTAACCTTTTCCGAGGTTTTATGAAGTGTTATGTCATTGTGCTCTTTTATAGCACTTGCCTCATTATCATGACCATATTGATCATTTGCCCCTTTCCTTCTTCAAGGAATTTTATATTTGAAACCGATTGATCTATTACGCTTTCGGTGTATCATAGACTCTGTCCTTCATGGACTTCACATTGGAGCATTTGCAACTGAATTATATCATAGGCTTAATATTCATCTGACAACTGATTTGCAATATTATGCAAATGAATTGTCCCTTGAACTTCAAGTTCACATATTTATTTAGCGAGAATTTAGATAATTCATAATTAACCTGACACATAATTTCCAGTTGTCAATAACCTCTCCCCCTAATGTTAGCAAATCTAACATTCATCCCAACCTTATTTAGGAATTCATCTTTATGCATGGTGGAGCAATCAGATCATAACCACACATTCAACCTTTTAGATGAAAATTATTTGGTTCCTGGCCCTGAATCAATTTTAATGGGGAAACCTTGTTGGCTTGATGCATACATGTGTTGATACATGTTACTTATCTCATACCAAATCTCATTTGGGAGTTTTGTTCTCATAACCATGATTTAGCTATAATTGAAGGCGTACAATTTCTGCTAAATCAACCAGCATTATCAATATAATTTCATAGTTTGAAACTGTGTTCTTAATTTTAACAATTCGAGCAAACAACCTAACAAAAACCAATTTATAAGTTGACAACAAAACACATGTGACCATCGCATAGATGCATCGATCATATAGTTTCAAATGATCCACATGATAGGTGAACGTACCCATATTCACCCTTTTATATGTTCCAAAAGTTTTAGGGAATTACAATCCCAACCTTAACTGGTACAATGATCATTTTATGAAGAGAACAAGCAACACATGAGAATTCTTGAAGAATCTTTTATTTCTTCATCATATAATCCACATGAATTCTCAATTACATTTGCACCACATTTAAACCAGAATGGTCAACCGGTCATGTCAACTAATCTTTATTTCAGTACACTTATAATTTACTTTCGCATGTGATTTCATCAGCATGCCCACATTTGTGTGCAACAAACAAGAGGAAACAATTGGTAACCTTTTACATAAATATTTATAACCCCTTCGGTTGTAGTGATTTATAGTCTCGATATTTATTTTCAATTCATCCGAAACTTAAAAAATTTCTTTTGAGACTTACTACAACCCCATTATTATTCATCTGATAATAACACAACTCGTTAGAGCTTGCTATTAATTTTGTGTACTATCACATATTGCATGACACCATCCTTATTGTGAGCATCTCCTTCAAGGAGAAATTATATCATTATTGTCATGGTCAAAACATTACGAGCAAAACATGTTTCTTGCTTTACTTTTGTTGTACCATAGGTACACAACCAATGACAAATTTGTATTGTCACACAATAATGACCACAACCCTTATAGGCAAGAACTATTTCTTTCTTTTGCCCTTTCGATAGTTCATAACAAACATACCATAATATTCATGACGTATAAACGCACACGACCATTGACCGTTCATGTCAAATAAAATTTATATATTTCTCTCAAACCTCCCGTAGAGATGAGATGTGGCATAATCATTTTTTTCTCAAACCTTCCATAAATGTGAGTTGTGGCATATATCCAACCCATGATGATTTTATCACATCTTGACCCATTCTCTTATAGAATGATCGAACATTCACGATACTCATCACAAGTCACATTCTCTTCAAGGAATGGACCAATCATACATATGTACTTCATTAATTTGCATTATAAGCACATTGTCATGGCTTTAAAATTCATCATATTTTCATGACACACCTCAACATCACTTTGAAAGATTAAGTGTACCATCACTTTATCTTCTTGTCTTTTGATGGGGGATTTATAAACTTGTCAAATTATTGGGTCGACATTATTCAGAAGTCCAATGACCTTTAATACCATTTTGATAATAAATATTGTCTTCACATTTTGAAGGACTATTTGGAGAACTCATAGTGTTCTTTCTTTTATAATTACCACAATGATGACTATTATGATTCCGTCCCTTCACGACCTTATTCATATCGTTAATCATTTGTCATCTTTCAGACTAATTATTTACTGCTACCATTCATACGATAGAATGGAGCAAGTCAACATCGGATTTCAAAGTTATCATATGTTGCTACCACATTCTTTTCAAGGAATGGAGCAAATTCAATAAGACGGATTTCAAGGCTTTTCATCAAAGCCTTAGTCATCATTATACCATCACTATGGTGCATTGACTCAAACTCAATGTCTTATCCATATAAGGTGTGTGAGGCCAAATTATATGGGACTTGAACCCAATCCTTATCATCATGGTGCATCAAAACTCAAATTGATGTCTTACCCCCTTAGTGCGATAGAACTTGAATTTGTCGTCTTATCCCCAAATATTTTTCATTATGTGCATTCGGACTTTACCAGATGTCTTACCCCTTTTGGTGCGATGGGACTTGAATTCATCGTCTTACCCTTCAATCAATGTCATATAAATCAAAACCAATAGAACTCAACCATGAGCCTTTAAATGAAATCAAGAATTATAGAAGCAAATTTAGTCAAAATAAGATTGAGAGTTTTCTCACTTCCTACAATTATAAATATTAATAAGTTCCTCATAATTAACACTTAGAAAATCAACATGAAAATTTACTTCTTTATCCTTTAGTTCTTTTCTAAAACGAAAAACTGTTAGAAGAAAAGGACTTTTCTTCTTTTTAAGTGTATGTAAGTCTCATTTGTATATCATACAATAGTTGAATAAACAACCCTATTTATAGGTTGAGAAATCACTCCGAAAGTCACCATATTAAGTATAATAATAAATAGATACATTTTTATCCAAAAAGGTTCATGAAACCTAGTGAATATAGATGGTTGTTCATGTACTAACTTTGTGGACTATCCACTCATTTAATGGATTTATTAACAAAAAATTTAATTTTATGTATATATACTATATGTTGACTTTTCTTATTTTTTTATGTTAGATTTATTATTTTATATTTTGGCACTTTTTAATACAATTTTTGATTCGGCCACAAATAGAAGATTAACTTTAATACAGTAAACAAGTGGCAAAAAAATCCTGAGAGGATCAAAAAAGTGGCACTTTAATATCTATTGAAACACACTATTATATATTTAAGTTCAGTTGCATCTAATCTAATAACTAAATAAAGGCCTTAAATAAATTTAAATTAAGAACAAGTAGCTTAAAATTTTGGAGTTGGCTCCACATCTTTGAGAAGCAGTATTATGTTACTAAAGAAACAAATTATATAATCATTGTCAAAAGAATGTCCTTTTTTATATGTGATTGTCAATATCAAGTAGTCCACGAAACTAACGCCACGTCTGATTTTTGGTCCAATTGGATTAGACTTATCTATAGTTAACGCCTAACGGTAGTAAAAAGCCAATGACATTCTTTTTTACTCGTCAAATTTTAATTTTAAGTAATTAATATATTAAATTGATTATTTTATCTCTATTACTTGTATTACTAACTATATACTTGATAAGTAAATATGGAGGAAGAGAGTATATTACAAGCTACTTGCCAACTAACTATGACTTTGACAGCTATTACCCAACAAGAAATCCACACGCTTTATATTTCTTTTTGAATTGATAGAGCAATTCATTTTCCAACCTTAAAGCCAAGGTTTCATCCGAAGATGTAATTGCGTTTTTGTGTTAGAAGAAGGATAGCTATACTCTAAAGACGCATATTGAAGTGAAAGAAGCAGAAGAAGAAGAAGATGGGTCATAAAGGGAAAAAAGATAGGGCTAAAGTTGTGGCATATTGTTGTTGTCCTTGTATTGTAGTGTCTTGTACATTCTCTGTTTTAAAGAGGACACTCTTTGTGGTCTCTTTCCCTGTTTTGCAGTGCTTTGGATTGGATGAACATAGACATCAACATCAACACCACACACACTTCAATTCACAGCTTCATTAATGTTTTATTTTTCAAAGTTTCAATTTTTACAAGAACAGAAAAGGGGACAAAAATTCAATTACTTACTTGTTGGGTAGTGTATTCTGCTAGTTGATTTAGTTGTGAGCTATTATTGTTTCATTGTAATACTGCTATTCTGTTTGATTGTCTAGTGAAGAGAATTTCAATAGATATGTAACCATTGTATTTTTCCAGCTATAATTTTGTCCTTGGTGATAAGATTCTCTAGTTTTAAAACCATTCCACATTTGATTTGTAATTGCAATCAAATTTGAAAGGCTTTGATTAAATTACAAAAATGATGGCAAGAATCATCGATTTGAAGAAGAAGATAATTTAAACACTCTGCTATGTTGAGTAACTAATAAGTGACAAACCAGTTTATGGCCTAAAATCACCAATCTTATAGACAAAGTAGGAATAAGGAAAGAAATCAATTGCTTTTTGTGCTGATGGGATTGGGATAGGACGGATCAAATAGGATAGGACACGACGATACTTAAACAGGGCAGAACAGGTCAAAACTTCAAAATATTAAATGGGACAGGGCAAGCCCAAGCTTTGGCTTGTTTAGCTAATCGTTATGTCTGTGATAGTTTAGTTTTCTCAAATGACCGTTCGGAGCCGGAGGAAGTATTTAACAATGCTGATGAACGATTGTCAAGAATCAAACGTTTTGTTTGGCCCCATTTTTATGTAAGCCTTAGGTAAAGTGATCCAATAGGTAATAATATGCTTTTTGCCTCGTAAAAACAGAAATTTTCCAAATTCCAACAGTTTAATATAAACATTTTTTTTCACATACAGACTATCCTTTAATATTAAATAGCTATAACAGTAGTCTGACTTTGAAAAACTAGTAATTAGCACCCAACACAACAAAATTACACATAAGACTTTGAATACAAAATATTTCTCATTAATTAGCATTGCATGAGTTGACATCGTAACCTCTTCACATCTGAGTGCTTTAGAGGCTTCAACATGAACATCTGAGCCCCTTCTTCCATGCATCTGTTCATTTCAAAAAATTTGAGTTATTTATTTGATTACTTACCTATCATAACTTTGTTCAAAACTCAACTAGTCATCGATGATATAAACTTACTGATCAATTCGAGTTGGGATATTCTCAGATGACATAATAACAACTGGTACATCTTTCAATATCGACGATTCCTGCTTGCATTTCATTCAACTAATTAAACAACATTTTAATTTCTCCCATAGAATTTTTTGAACTATTAACTAAAAACTAATAATATACCTTGATTTTCTTAAGCAATTCATAACCAGTCATTCCTGGCATGCAATAATCTGTTATTATCATATTAACCTTTGAACCCTGTTGAAATAAACACACACACAAAAAAAAAAGGAAAATCATAAACATTAATTAATACTAATAACATCCCTTGAAGAAAGAACTGTTTAATTAAAGAAATAATTACATTGTTATTTGTAGAGTTCTCCTGATTAGCTCCTAATCCCAAGTACTCCAACGCCCTTAGACCATTTTCTGCAGTAGTCACTAAAGCCAACTCACTAATTTTAGAAACTAATCCAATTTTCATCTAATAATCATATTTTGACGAGATTAGCCCGACTAATATAGAAAACTAGAAATAGCAAAAAAAACAATTCAAAAAATACTAATGGTATTAATTTAGTTAAGTCAGAGGCGGATCCACATGTATATGTAGGGTACACATCAGCACGTGCACTTGGTACTACTGATACAATCGAATAAAATGTTATATGTTAATTGTCACTGAAAGTTTCGATAAAGCCTAAATTGAAATAATATTAATATAATATTTAAATTATGAATTCGTCTTTTGTCTGAAATAAAATAAAATTCTCTTTACTGAATACAGATGAATCACGGTATTAATTTGTGGCCATACCTAGAGCTAGTTAGGATGAAATTATTTTCCTATATGATACTAATAAATAATGGCATCCAGAAGGAATTTTTTTTTTATTTTTGGAAGGAAAAAAAAAAGAGAATGACATAAAATGAGAGTAAAAGTCTGCATCAAAGGATTCGAAAAGATACGAAGGAAGCAGTGTGATCACGTATTCATAAAAAGTTTTAACATATCGAAAAGTCATATAAATCGGTATCATTTATTTACTTTTCCTACACGTTTATTCTTTTCCCCCATAATTAAACTCTTCTTTTATTTTAAATTTTCTTTAATTACCATTCCTTTAAGGAAATAAGAGGGAGAGAAAGCGATGTTATGAAGATCCAAAATTTGAATCGGTGAATCTTCAACTTTATTATTTCTATTTTTATTTACTTGTCAATGTTTTCTAATTTTTATTTTTGTTATTTTTTGACAAATTAAGGCAAAACATTTTTTTTTCTTTTTCTTTTAAGTCTTTCATTTATTAATATTGAGTTAATATTTTTGCAAAATATAGTGAGAAAATATATTTAATACTTTATCAATTAATAAATATAAAATAATAAATTTACTGAATCAATAATTATTTATCTGATACACGTGTCAAAATAAAATTTGACAAGTAAAAAAGAAAAGAAAGAGTATTACTCCTGTGTGATAACAATATCAAATAAAAACGTACAAATGATGTATACATAGTCTTATCCTATCTTATAATGATAGAGTGTGTTTGAATAGAATGTTAAGTAAAGAATAATGAGAAGTTAGTGTATAAAACAAATAGAATAGTGAAAAAACTCATGCTAAAAACGCTGTCAACTTAACATAAGTATGTATATTTAATTAATTTGTATAAGTATGCATTTTCTTCTTGGTATGTTGTATCAATTTGTGGGAGGATTTTCTTGCATGTATAATGTCATACTTGAGAAACATATATGATGGGGAATATATGATAGAGCAATTGAAACATATATTATACATTGTGATCACATGTGTTGTCAAATATTAACAAGAGAAAATGTGAATAAATAAAAATATATACTACCTTTACAAGATGATTTTTTGAGTAATTTTTCGACAAGTTTTCGATCAATAAGGTTGTCATCAACAGCTAGAACATGAGGTTCTTCCTGAGCAGAAATTGTTGAAGATGAAGAAGAATAAAAATCCATAATAAGGCACAAATAAGAATAAGAGGTGCAATAAGAAAAAGAAGAAGAAGAAGAAAGAATCAAAGTGTAGAGAGAAAAAAAAGCAATATAGTTTGTGGGGGGTATTTAAAGGAAAAGAAAGATTCTTGGAATTTCTTGGGAAGATGAAAAAAAGATTTTGAACTAGTGGGGGGTTGTGTTTAATTAAGGCAAGGAATCACCAAAATTAAAACTAAAATCAAAAGGTTGTGTCACACATGATATTTGGCCATCTCATATTTTGCTTCCATTACCCAAATTCTGTGGAAATTAATATTTCTTGATTACTTATAAAATGAATAAAATAAAATAGATAAAATGATATTTTTTAATTCTTGTGTTAAAGGTTAATTTTTTATTTTAGTTTTTGTGTTATTTAATTTAACACTATTAATTTTTAATTATATCAAGTGAGTAATTTTATTCCTTCAACTAACAGATTCAAAAAAATTAACAGAGAGTTCACTGCTAAAAGAGATAATTCGGGTATTTAAAAGTTATTGCTTGTGAAAATGGAATTTTTTTTAAAAAAATTATTCGTTGCATATCTTATCGTTCGTCGGTGTGAGAGGGAGGGTTAATGCCTATAAAATTGGTTTTGTTGAATTTGTAGCTCAAATCAATGGGCTTGTTCTTCTAGATAAAGATAAAGAAGACTTAGCTTGTTCTTCAAGAGAGAAAATAAAAAAAAAGTATCTAAACTATCCCTTTTAGCGGTCTGTTAATTTTCTATAAATTTGTAAGTTGAAAGATTAAAATCACTTACTTAATATAATTGAAGGTCAATAATGCTAAGTTAGATAACACGAGAACTAAAATAAGATATAGTCTTAACACAGGGACTAAAAATGTCGTTTTCCCAATAAAATACTTTTTTCGGATACATAAAAATAAAATTTTTATTATAAAAAGACTATAAAACAAAAACAAAATAAAAAACTATTATAAAAAGGCTATAAAACAAAAAAAAGAAAAGAAAATTATAAGTGATCTAAAAAGCTAAATCCTCTCCTTTTCATTCATGCATGTATTATATCAATAACAATATTAATACTGTTTTCTCAGATCCTCATTTTCTTTTCTTTTTAATTATTAAAGAACAGATAATGTGCTCATAAAGAAAGTGTGGATAAATATTTTTTTTGTTTCATATTAGTTTATCACTTTTTATTTTGCATAGTGTTTCAGATATCATAAATAAGAAGATAATTTTTAGGGATATATTTTCAGAAAGAATTAACTTTTCAAGGTTAATATAGAAAAATTTTAATTAATGCTTTCTTGATTTAGTAAGGTGGACAATTTATTTAAAATAATTACTTTTAGTATAATGATCAATTGATATTGAACGGAAGGAATATTAAATAGTGGAATGTTTTGTTAAAAATGGCAAGTAGGTGTGTGAAATTTTCTTGAATTTGATATGGTGAGAAGAGGATCTAAAAAGTATGTGCATAGAGGATTTTGAAAGCAGTATCTTGCTAAATCTTAATAATGGGGACCAAATCTAGCTGCTTCCCATTCTTACAATATTCTACAACAAAAAAGTGTGTTTGGTATGAATCAAAGTATTTCTCAAATTTTTATTTTATTTTATTTTACAATAAACTACTTAATTCAAATGTAGCCATAAAATGACTTGTATAATTTATGGAAATTTTATTTTGTAGTAGTTCAAATATGCATTTAATTTGTGCGTCTTTCACTGCCCTAATTAATATGGCTTATATATAGTACGTTCTTAGCTTCCACATTTTTTGCTAATTCAAATTTTGAATATATACATTTATTAAGAAAATTTCTTTCAATATACTAGACAGTAAATAATTACTATATAATTATCAAACTCTATAGAATTTGTCTACTATATACCTCAGTTAATTCCACATTATCTTTATCTCTCTTGTAATTTTCCTCTTCTTATTTTCTCTCTGTATACTATCAATAAAAATGTTTAGGAGCTTGTTTGATATTGTTGCTGGAGGTAAAATATTCTATTGTTGCTGGAGGTAAAATATTCTTACTTTAAGGGGGGAAAATCACTTATTTTGAAGAATTAAGGTGCTTGGTTAATTAGTAAATTGTCTTTTAGTGGAATTAGAAACATTTTTTTGTTTTTGAAAAAAAAACTAAAAAATTCTGCTCCTTGAAAAAAAAAATATCCCATCAATATGTACATATTTATTAATATATTCCTTATAATATTTATATTTGTGGTGAATTTTCCATAGTTATTTAATTTTTGGAATGATTATTTTGCTTGATTTTATTAACTATAGTTAAAATCATCATGTTAATATTATATATCGATATATTTTTTTCTTTATTTATCTCTGTATAAATATTTAAATATATATATATATATATTTATGTAATAAAGATAAAAATTCAATTGAAATTTTATTATAAATATATAAAATAATTTTAATATTAAAAAATACATTAATATTTGTCATTTTTCATGATTAATTCTTGAAACACTTTTTTTTAAGATAGTCAACCACAGTCTTCTTATCGAAAGTGGTTTCAAATTAATTAACTAAGCACCTAATGTTTTTTTTTCTAAAAGCATTTTCCTGAAAAGTTTTTTAAATAATATATACTTCTAAAAATAAGTAATGTTTAACACTAACGCCAATCATGTTCTTAAACATAAATTATCTAAATATTCTTCCATCATTTTTGAATTTTTCACTTAAATGAATACTCCATTAATTCTAGCACTAAGAGTGAATAAATAATTTATTTGTATTGGAATGAAAGAATAGAATGTGTATGAAACTGAAAAACAGCAGTTTATTTTTCCCCAAAAAAGGGAGGGAGGGAGTCACACTAGTAGTACATCATAGGTGAATGAGAATTTTTAAGTAACAAATTGTTTTAGTGCATGTAGTTAGATAATGAACTAATTTAAGGTTTCACTTGCTATAATTAAACTAAAGAGTATTATATTAAATTATAATATTATCACAATAAGGAACAAAAATAAAACGTATATAAATGCCAAACTTTATATAACTTTATATAATTCCATTTCCCTATATATGACTTGGTGCACCATGATATATTTCTTGATACTCAGCAATATATAAGATATGTAATACATAGAACTTGATAATATCTTCATGAATTCCAAGAAATTTGCAAGTATCCCTCTTATTTTGTTCAATTATTTGGTTTATCTTTGTTATATCTTTGGACTTTGTGATATATATATATATATATATATATATATTATATATATATATATATATATTATATATATATATATATATATATATATATATATATTCCTTGCTAATAAAAGCAACAAATTTATATTACTTCCTCTATTTTAGTTAATTGAAAATTTTGGGACATTTTCAATGTTCAAATAATTGAATTTAAAGTTCAAAATGGATGTTGAATTTTTTCCCCTTCATATTTGTCCTTTTCTTTAGTAAAATTTGACATTTTATAGGAAAGTTATATTTATGATTTTACAGAGAATAATAATGAATATGATTTAAATATTATTCACAAATATTTTTTATAACAAATTTATATTGTTGCCTCACAAGTCAATTAATACGAAATCGTGGGAATAATATATTTGATGATTCGTCATTTGCATCATATGCATATATATGTATAAAAAAATAAAAAAAGTTATGGTATCTATTTTATATCATTATGTTTTTATTTGGTGTGGTTTGAATATGTCTTTCATTAATATTTGATATTTCTATAATTTTGTTTAAATCTTTTATCAGTTTGGTTTTACTAGAATCAAATCAAATTAAATATCATTAATTTTTAAAAATTTAAATTCAAATCGAACCAAAATCAAATAGAAATCTATTTAGAAAATCAATTTTAATTAAAATCAATACTCCCTCTATCCTTTTATATGACATTTTTCATTTTTCGAGAGTTAAACGATTTAAGTTTGATTGAAAATTCGCGCATGAAATTTTAATTTTTTTGAAATGAAATAAAGTACTACAGGTCACAATTTTTGATAATTCAAAATACATAAAAAATCGATGAAATATTTATTTTGAAACTTAAAAAATATCACATAAAATAAAACAAAGAGAATATTTAATTTAGATTAAAAAAAAAGAGAAAAGAATTATTTTGCATCATCCTTGCAAAAAAAAAAAAAGATGATCCGAATTTCAAAGCAATGAAAGATGTGTTTAAAGTTCATAATCTTTGAATTTGACGAAAATAAATCTTTGCTATTTTTCGATAGATTTTCTCGTACCAAATTGCACAAAGTTCCAAGTAATATAGGGACTAACGTGCCTACAACATCAAATCCATTCTAAGCGATAAGAAAGAATCCCAATCACAAAACTCCCACTTGGGAGGGTCAACGTACTTATTAATTTTACACAAAATTTAAGATATTTTTTTTTGTTTTAAAATAAATAATAGATATTTATGTTATTAAAATTAATTCATTAAGAAGAAAATTAATATTTTAAATTATTGTTATAATAAATATATAAACCAGATATTTTTGGAATAAATTAAAAAAAAAATCGTATAAATTAAAATAACAAAAATAATGAGTATGTAGTTTATCATCTAAAATTATAATTTAAGAAAGAGGTAGGGTAAGTATAATTTGAATATGAAACTAAATTTTTTTTTGGGTGGGGTTGATTCATTCTTTATAAAACTAGCATAATCAGTACTCTCTTCGTTTTAAAAAGAATGATACAATTTTTTTAGTTTGTTTTAGAAAGAATGATTTCTTTCTTTTTTTTGATAACGTTAATTTTCAATTTCCCACTTGACATGTTTAAGGACACAAAATTAAAAAATATTTTGATACATTTGACATAACTTTAATTTAGTATCACATGATTAAAATATTTTCTTTCTTTTCTTAAATTTCATTTCAAGTCAAATTAAATGATTCTTTTTTAAACAGAAAAAATATTAACTAAAATATATAACGAAAGACCTTAAAATAACTGAATGCGTAATTACTAATGCATGCAACATTCTAACGAAAACCCTTAAAATGTGCCTTCTATAGATCATGCAAA